CCACCTTTCATCTGTGTATGTGTGTACGGGATCTGGGTATCGTCTATGAATGACCCAGACCCCACCATCTCATGATTGTATGTGTGTGGAGTGATGCCATGTAGGTCAGTCTACTTGAGTCAGTCTATGTGAGTCAGTTCGTTTATCAGACTTCCGCTGCATAAATGCTCATCCTATATTGGTTGATCTTTGGTTATGCCCATACTCATTGAAGTATGCAACAAGGACAAACCACCACGTCTTCATGTCTGGAGTCATGGAAAGTCGAACTGTGAGCTGGCAGAGGATGGAGTCGAAGAGCAATGAGGAGAGCGATGAGGAGAACCCTAAAGGCGGTGAACTTCAAGGGAGAGCGCATTGACTTGCCCCTCCAAGGGTGAAAGCGTCTCGAGTCGCGCTTGCAAAGGTAAAAGAAGGGACGCAAGAATAACGCGAAGTTTCATGGGGTCCACAGGGTTCTGACCCTGGGCCGTCAGGTGGGTAGGCGCCTGAGAGACGGAGGGCGCCGCGACAATCTCCTCAGTTCTAGCCCCGTCCGTAGGTAGTGGACGTATGAGGGTAGACATCTTCGGAGGTGGAGAAAGAGGTGGGGAAAGAGATGGGTTGTGGCATGGGGATAGGGGATCACCGGTGAGAGGGAGGGGACCGCGGGAGCGGAGTGGGTAGTCGTGAATCGGCTCGCCCTGTGACTAGCGGGTCGCTCGTGAGAGGGTGGAGCGAATCCGATCGAGGGGGGAGGAGGTTCGGGTCCGGGGTGCCCGATGGGGGGGAAGCGGGAGAGGAGGGGGGGTAGGAGAACCCTGAACCCTAGAAAAACCCTAAGAAAACCCTAACCGGAGTTTGGACGGTTAGGGTAGGGTAGCGGCGACCTAATCCAGAAAAGAAAATAGCGACCATGGAAGAAAAAGAGAAAAAAAATAAAAACATAAAAATTTTGAGATACAAAAAAAAAAAAAAAAAACTAAGAATAATTAAAGAAATAAGTAAGCAAAATGTGAAGAGAGAAATAATATTTATTTTTTTGGAATTTTCGGCAGAATTTCCCTAACCCCCATGGGGTAAAAAATGTGCCAAGAGGAAGGGGAGACTAAGAGATGCACACTAAGTTTCAAAATGCCGCAAATGATAATTTTTCAAAAATAATAATAAATAAATAAATGAGGAGGTGGAGGAGAGTGAAGAGAAACTAAGTGTTGGATTTTTCAAAAATTTTGAAAGCATTTCATTATCCCCATGGGGTCCAAGTGTGCCGGCAAAAGATATGACTAAGTAAGATGGGAGAGAGTAGGGGGAAAAGAGAAAAATTTGGAGAGTTGCAATAACTAAGTCCTAAACAGATATAGAGGTGTCGAAGAAAAATTCAAAATAAAAATAAAAATAAAAATAAAAATAAACATAAAATAAATCAGAAAAATGAGAAAGAACTTCAAAGAAGTAGATAAGACAATGCAAACTTTTTAGAAAAAAGAGAAAATTTAAATCAAAACAAAAAGACAAAAGAAGAAAAAACAGAAAATTTAAAGTTGGGGGTGAGGGGGCATGAAAAAGTGATGGAGAAAAAGAGAAATAGGCGAGGAAGAGAAAAAGGTTGGAGTATGGGAGGGGGGGGGATGATTGGGTTGTAGTTGGGGGAGGGAAGGGGGAGAGTAGGGTGAGAGAATGAAAGAGAAAGTGATGAGAAAAGTGAGGAGTAGAAGAGATTAGTAGAAGATGGTGAGTGAGAAGGGGAGGGGAGAAAAATATGGTAGAAGATGAATGAAGAGAGATGTAAGAGGAAGGTGAAGTAGTGGTGGAGGTAGAAGAGGTGATGAGATGGTGTAGGGGAGAGCGTGCCACACATTGGGGACATATATAGAGTTTGGCCAGTGTGGTAAGGTGTTGGGAATGCACATTTGTGGCTGGCAACTGCCCAGGTTCAAACCTTAGCAGCAACATGCATCCAGGATCTTGATAGACATAACCTGCGCGCGGGGTGGGGCAGCGTGGGCATGTGGCGCTCTCTCTTTTCTCGTCACCTTTAGCTCCGTTGTCGCTGCACTTTTCCCCGCTTTTTTCGTATGAAAACAGCCAAAAACAGGCAACCCCCCCCTGTCGGGCTTACACCATGTTTCGGGCCGTGGTAGGTGGGAGCAGGGAACGTTCCTGCTCTGATACCAGTGTGAGGGACCTGCCGGGATGGAGACGGAGGGTTGAGGAAGGAGGACATGGAGATGGAGCTGGAAGGGACGGTGCAGCTCCGGCGCAGACTCAACACGCGCGTACTCCAAAACGTGCGGAATGAAGAATGAATCGAAAACAGACAACAGCTGGGGTATACCCCCAGCAGACTGACTGGACTGGACTGGTACCGACGGTGGTAACGGGCAGGACTAACTGGACTGGAACAACACATGGCCGGTGGGGTCAGGCCACAGCCTGGTCCCACAGGCCGAAAAGGCAAATAGCCCGATAGGCCCTGGCTGTAGGCCAGGGCAGATAGAGGCCCGCTGCAACCAGGAATCCTGGCCCCCAGACAGTTGGGGCGCCCACCGCCCCCAAACTTGTAATCGGCAGCGACCAGAGCCCTGCCAACCGAACATCAGCGAGAGCTAACAGACTTGAACCTGCAACCTTCCCATTGCAACGCCAGAGCTCTAACCCACTGACCTACCACGCTTGTCCCTTTTAGGAACAGTGTCACTGTTCAGGAAACAAATAAAGGAACGGAACCATTTCCACCTCAATAGAATGGGCCATGGCCTGTAAGGAAAACAATTCAGGATTACAAAAGGGGGAGGTGAGGAAAGGGAAAGAAACTATCCAGATCACAGAGGGGCTTGCAGAGGAGAGAACTATGGGTGACGTGTCACTGAGAAGATATTGGGTGAGGGAGGAGAAGCAGAGAGAATGACAAAGCAGACAGCTCCAAAAGATTCTTGAGATGCACAGAAAACCACGGATCACAGGACACATATGCTCACCTCCTCTCCTTTGGAAGAAGATTTTTATCTGGATTTTGTGTAGGGGTTGGGAAAAGCCAGATTCTGTCTTTTCTTCCTCTCCCCTCCTCCCTTTATTTATAATATTTCCGTAGTTCTTTTCCATGTGATATTATAACCCAGATGTATCATTAGTGCCATTCTGTCATAGAATGGGACAAAAGGCCTACTCACTTTGGCTTCCGAGAAACGGCCCTGAGGTCACATTTTGGATGTAGAGGCGTTCCTGCAATGGGTCCAATGCATAAATTATGGGGGCGGAAAAACTGTCAGAGCGCCGCAGAAGGCCCCAAATCACTGGCAATTTAATGCACACAACCTCAATTGCCTGCATATTCAGTCAACTTCGTCCCGATTTAAATGTGCCCTCAAAGCATACTCGCTCTAGGACGTTTCTTTTTTGGTGAAACTACGCGGGAATCACAGAAACGAGTTATAATTGCACTATGGGCCAAGATACAGTTTCGAATTGCAGCTCGGGCAATGTATACAACCCACCTTTCTGGCCAGGTAGGTGGCCGAACTGAAATTGCAAACTGTATCAAGAGCAGGCACCACTAGCATTCTCGGAGAGGCTCCATCTATTGGTGGGGACCAGCACCTGCTGGAAACCGGGTCCAGCGTCCCTTATATGTAATGAATGTTACACTATAGGATGTCCTTGACTGAATAGGGGAAGTTGTGATTTGCCCTTAGAGCGTGTTCAGACTGGGGGGTTCTTGATTGAATGTGAACCCTGTTGCGGCCAGATAAATTGTTGGAATGCCCTCAGTTTCTCAATTTTGACGGCATATATTCGCACCAGGACACTTTCTTGACTCAGCCATGACCGTAATTGCCGTCAGATACAATCCTTGAGAGCCATGATTGTGGACACATACATTCCGGAAAGTGCTAGCATGAGTAGGCGCTGAGGCAGATTCTTTCTGTTGCTTTTTTTTTTTTTTTTTCCTTTTTTTTTTTTTTTGCCCAAACAATTCACTTACCTGTCAAGCTGGACAGAACGTTAGATGAAAAAGAAATGTTATTTTTGTGGTGCTGCCGCAGCCCACGTCAGGCCTGTCATTCCTAGATGTGCTTCCTCTGCTGGGTTTACAAAAAGCTCGATGTTGCACTAAATTAGGGCATGCAGTTTTTTTTTTTTTTTTTTTTTTTTTTTTTTTTTTAAGACTGCTCATTTGATTATACGAGCTGGGAAACGGGCCCAGCGTCCCTCACATCAATAGCCGCAGCCACAGGGATGAGCCAGGCACTCCGGCCAGGCTTAACCCCACCGCACGTAACTTTTGCCAGCTCTCAGAAGGCCAATGTTCATGTCACACTGCCGGCTCGCAGTCCGTTATAAAACTATGTCATTAAACCATCTCATCTATCTACACTCTATCTACACTCTATCTACGCTGTATCTATCTATCTGCACTCTGTCTGTGCTCTGTCTGCACAGTCTGCACAGTCTGCACAGTTAAAGAATGAACTCTTACTCAACTCTTACTCCTTCAGCTATCTTCTTATCTTACAACTCTCCATAATCTGCACACACTACAGCTATTCACAGCTATTCACAGAAAAAATGATGAAAATCTAACTTCTGGCGGCTTCCCTGGGGTTGAGTCACCGTCAGCAGTCCCGCATATGCCCCCCATCTGCTTGTGAACAGCTTGAGAGACTTCGCAGAGTATCCTTTTTTTTGGACTTTGTATTCCCAATCTGCCAGAATCGCCATCGGTGGCGTCAGACGTTCCCCCCTTCTCACCGCTGAGTTTCGCAATGTCCAGAGAGTCCACAGTATAGCTCCTCTGATTGTCTCCTCAGCATAACAAAGTCGTTCGTTCTGTTGGGATCTTCGAGAGGCTGTCCCCATAAGTACAAACTGGTCTGTCCACCACCGAGTATGGGGTTCCGGAACCGGCACTGAACCGCCCCTCCACCAGGCCCAAAAAGGCTGAGAAAGCTCACAAAGCAGAGCAAAGTGGTGTAGATCTTCCACTCTTGTCCCCGGCCATATTTCACATCGTGGATCCGCTTTGGAAGTTCGTCCGGAGCACCAGGCTGCCACTGGAAGTGCCTGGTGCATCATCAGCCACAAGAGGCTCGCATGCTTCACAGCTGCCAAATCCATCAATATTTTCCAAAAATGTGGCAATGCTTCCACTATGCGCACCAGCGAGTCTTGTATCCAGTTTGTAGTCATCCATCTGTTGGCCACCTTCCAATTGATGTCAATCTCTGGTGTCGCCAGCTGATAGCCCAATTTAGTTGAGTATTGATGCATTGGTATCAGTTGATGTCTCTATTTCGGATTCTTCCATGCCCAGTTTCTCGGGTCCACTGGCAATTGGTATGCAGGAAGGGATAGGCAATACGGTCTATAACTATCACTGTGCTCCAACACACAGACTGGAGTCAGGTTTGCAAGAGGGGGGATCGGTAACTGTTGTGGAGCGACTGTAAGTTCGCCCCCCATTTCTGTCCTTCCTCTATGGGTCTCCCAACAGGAAAACTGAATGTCGGCCACTGGTGAATGATGCTTAGGTAGTTAAGGATTAATTAGTGACAAATTCGACATTAGATAAGGGTCGATTTTCACATTATATTAGGGTTATTGAATAGGATACGGGTGAGTGTGTAACGTTGCTGAATTGACAGCTACTGTAGATTGTAAGATGGCTTTGTTTTCGGTGTTTTTTCTGCTCGTTCTGTTGTGTGTGAAGCTGCAGTAGGGGATGGGTTCGACCGAAAGTGCCTTGTCCAGCCCCGTATGGCCGCGGCAAATATGTGAGGGGCGCTGGGCCCATTTCCCAGCTTATATTGGAATATACATCTTTTTCTCTGGAAAACGAAAATTGTCAAAAAAAAAAAAAAAAGGAGTAACTTGCTGCTTGCAGGTGCAGCTCCCCAACACTAGATGGAGCCTCACAAGTAGAAGGGGCCTACAGCACTGTGACTTCAAAAAAAAAAAAAAAAAAAAAAAGGATAGCACTGGGACTTTCCCCAAGGCTGTAGGCAGCTCTTTTTTTTTACCTTTCAAAAAGCTGTCGTCTCCTCATTGGGGGACATATAAAAAAAGAAATTGTGCCCATATTTTTTTTGTGCCCTTTCAGCCTCTTTTTTTCTCCTTTTTCTTTCTCTTTTTTGCTAGGGCAATGGCCTTGAGTAATCCTCATCGAGCTGAGCAGCCCCAGGTAATTCAGAATTATTTTATTCTGTTCATCTGATCACAGCTGGATTCCAACTCTGGTCTGTATTTGGTGTACCAACCTAGCTAGGCCCGTTGGTGTATCCTTTTCAAAGCAAAGGGTTGGGAGGAAGCACATGCAAGACTTTTTCTTTTATAATTATTATTAGGGAAAACTGTTGAAATGCCCCTGAAAGTTGGGGTATTTCATCAGATACCCCTAAAAGGCAGGGGTATGGCAAAATGCCCCTGGATAAAATACCCCACTTGCCAATTGGACCTGTCATCTTTGGCATATACCCCTACAAGGCCCTGGGCAACTTGTCTATATGCCCCGGTATATATGGCTGTTGGCCCCTGCAGATGCCAGATGGCACAAAAAATGTGGCGGCCCCTCTAGCCTGGGGCCAAGGGCATATGGAGAAGTTGCCAATGCCCGGGACAGGGGCATACGCAAAAGTTGAGGGCATTTCCGCATACCTCTGTGTTTTAGGGGTATCTAACGAAATAACCAAACTTTGAGGGGTATTTCAACAATTTTCCCTTATTATTATTATTTTTTAAACCTCTCTTGTAGGTGTTAGGCGGTGTTTGCAGCCAGGAGGCTGCACTTGTGTGGGTTGCATTTTTGTCGTTTCATGTTCTTTCTGTTTTGGGTAGGTCGTGCAGTACAGCTTTGCTAGGACGGGTTCGTTTGGGGTCTTCAACAGCAGAAAATAGGGTCCGGTCGCAGTCGTCCCTAAGACCGGTTATAGGGCAGGTTATCTTGTCAACGTCGTTGGAATTTAGTCTAGGGCGCCGCCCATTGTTTCCCTTTTGAGCGATAGAGTTTTTTCCCGTTGCGAACTGGGGGTGGGCGATTTGGGTCTGGGCCGTTTCCGCTTTTGTTTTTCATCTCTTCTACTGCATCTTCCCAGAAATACAGTATCGAAGCATTCTGTTGTTTACTACGACCAAGTAGTGAAATGAAATAGAGAACGGACTGCCCTGCCTTGTTGGCAGGGCTTACTAAGAAAAGGAAAGAAAGGAAAAAACGTACTTACCTTTGCCCCGAGAGCCGTGGAGATCTAGGGCCTTGCTCCACTACTGATCAAATGTGCAAAGTGAGCATGAATCTTCTTGTACAACATAGGTAGATACACTGCTAGAC